CCCCTGTGTGGGCAGCGGACAAGCTTCCCACAGCCTTGGGAGCCCGGGACCCTGCCCCCCTGTCTCTCCTGAGCAGCTGCAGCAAGCCCGGCCCGCAGAGGACTGTGGAAATCTGCATACGACACCAAGATCGCTCCCTTGCAAAGAAAAGACTATCATCTCTTGCTTCGGAGTCCGGTGACAGAGGAAGACACTGCTGACTGTCATGGGAGATAAGACGGAGTGGAGGTGATCTACTTCCTTGTCTTTACCTGGCCTGCAGTCTGGCCTCCAAGCAGTTGGTCTCGGCTTGTCACCTTTCCAGCTGATCTTTCCCAGCGGATGCCACCCAGCCTCTCCTAACGCAGTGCTCTCTCACCCGGTCCCCACGCCGCCCACTGTGGGACCATCTATCGCCCCACCCCCCACCCCGGTCCACACGCACAGTTGAGCTACCCTGCCTGGCTCACGCTGTTCCTATGACTCTTTCCTGCGGAAGAAAGTCCATCCACCCACCTGTCCACACTCAGACCAAACACCACTTCTTTTGTGAAGCCTTCCCAAAGGAGCCAGTGAGCCTAGTTAGAATTGCTACACAGAACTACTCAAACCTTTAAATTATGATCAATTAAGAAACTAAAAATGAATAAAAATAACTACTACTTCCTGAGCACCTACTATGCCTACAGGGTGGGCAGTATCACTCCCATTTTACAGATGTCTACACTGAGGCTTAAAGAGGTCAGGTAACCTCCAAGGTGATACACAAGTAAGTGGCAGGACCAGCATCTGAAGGCAGGCCCGCTTGGCTCTACAGGCAGAAAAGGCAGGGTCAGGGTGACTCATCCGTGCTCCTGAGAGCACTGGGCACAGCTCTTTGTACTCAACAGGTGCTCATACATTTCTGTTGAGTGACCCTTACCCCCAAACAATCTTGCCCGCATAGACATGTGAGAGCACAGTGTACCTCCTATGGCCACAAGTTACACACAACACCCTGCAGTGATCTGTCCCCTCACGAACACTGCACCATCAGCAGTACACATCGGTGACTCTGGTCCAGCTACCAAACTCAGAAGAGTTTTCATTTTCTTTCATAAAAATTCTAAGATAAAGTGCTTTTCAGAGACTGGTAATTCCATCTCACAAGGAATGACTTAAGTAAGTGTGAAAATATTCTCTCCTTTCTCCTTAAAAGATGTTATCGCTGAGCATGGTCACTGCCTGGTGACGACGGAAAAGGCCAACATTCACTCAATAGCTCCTGACCTACTAAGAACATGTGAAGATAGTGGCTCCTTTCACTGTGCCTGCAGTTGCTGATTACCAATCCTGGGCTACAGGCCTCTGGCCTCTGGACCCTGGCCAGAAGGTGCTTTTGCCCTGAATGACGCCCCTCTGCTCAGTCTGGCCTCTTTCTGGGAGGGTTCTGGGGCATCCAGGCTGGGAGCAGGGCTCAGGTGAAGCCAGGCTTTGGGGTGTGCTGGGAACGTCCCTGCAGTCCAGGCAGGAAGGCACCTCTATGGCTCACGGGCCTGACACGAGCTGACCGTTTCTGCTACCTGGTCTCTGCACACACTGAGCCCTGAGGACCTAACTGCAGGGCCAGTGTCCCCGGTCGAGGCCCAGCCCTTGCTGCTCAGGAGCTGGTCCCTCTGCAACTTACTAGGGTCCAGAGATGATGAGAATGAAACTGCCCTCGGAGATAAATGTGACATCACTGCCTGGCAAGGTTGGGGGCTCCCTGGGTTAACGGCCTTTACCTTGATATGAAGCTGGACATTCCAAGTGCTGACTGACAGATTTCCCAAGGGCATACCAGCCTCCTCCAAGTATAGTTAACAGCGGTACAGCCCCTTCCATAATAGTAGGTAATTACCAATGTCCTTTGTGTGGTAAGAACCACGTAACATAAAATCACCACCCTTCAGTGTTTCTAAGTGTGCAGTTCAGTGGCATCAAGTACATGCACACTGCTGTGCAGCCATCACCACCGTCTATCCACAGAACTCTCTTCATCTTCCCAAACTGAACGTCTGTCCCCATTAAACACTAATTCCCCCATCCCCTCCTCCCGCCAGCCCCCGGCACCCACCCTTCTACCTTCTGTCTCCGTGAGTCTGACCACTCCAGGGACCTCATATAAGTGGAATCCTACAGTATTTGTGTTTTTGTGACTTAGCTTCTTTCACTGAGCATAATGACCCCAAGGTTCTTCCATATTGCAGCATGTGGCAGAACTTCCTTCCTTTTTAAGGCTGAATAATACTCCAGTGTATGGATAGACCCAATTTTATTTGTTCAACCACTGATGGACACCTGGGCTGCTTCTGCCTGGTGGCTACTGTGAATAATGCTGCTGTGAACACGGGCATGAAAATGAGACCCTGCTCGCAACTGTTTGGATATATGTACCTAGAAGTGAAACTGCCAGATCATGTGGAAATTCTAGTTTAATTTTGGGGAGGAAAATTATTGTTTTTCAATTTTACTATTGATCAATGTACCCTTGGGCAGTGCACTTAAATAAAAACGGCTATTAGCTCTCACTGCCAGTGAAAGCTTTTGGTGGGGATGGGCTCTTTCCAGATGTTCAGCCTTCAGGAGTGACTGAGGAGAGTGAACATGACTTAGCAGAGTCACATAAAATGTGTTTCAAGAAGTCACATTTCCTAATTCTGGAGGGCTGTATCCATAATCTTCATCTCAAAAGATGAAAGCCAACAGAAATGTAGGTAAGTAAATATGTATATTCTGAATACTTAGTCTAGTGTCAGTACTTGGAGAATACGCATTTAAATCTGAGATAGAAAAGTATGAGGGAAAAATTCTATGAAAAGAATGTTGGGGACTTCCCTGGTGGCACAGTGGTTAAGAATCCGCCTGCCAATGTGGGGGACTCAGGTTCCTGCCCTGGTCCGGGAAGATCCCACATGCGGAGGAGCAACTAAGCCTGTGCTCTACAACAAAGAGCAGCCACTGCAATGAGAAGCCCACGCGCCGCAACGAAGAGTCTCCCCCGCTCGCCACAACTGGAGAAAGCCCGCGCGCAGCATCGAAGACCCAATGTAGCCAAAAATAAATAAATAAAATTTAAAAAAAAAAACAAACGCAAAAACAAATTAGAACAGCACTAAAACTAAACCCATTACCTGAACCCACTTAGAAGAAAACATTAAGCTTTTACTATTCCAGGAAAAACAACAACATTGTCTAGTAAAACTTTCAGGAATGGACAAACAGGGTAAAGAATAAGAAAATGCCAAAGTACATGAGCTAGTTTTATAAACCACCTCGATTAGCCTGGAAACGTGCTACTTCAAGAAGATGGTGGTTCTGCTGTTATTTCTGTTACAGTCACTCATAAAGAACGTTCCCACTGTTATTTATAATCAATATCAGGAGCTCAGGGACTCAAAAAAGATACCATTAAATGTCTCAGAAAAGCAGAACTCTGACAAGCAGACTTGTCTTATCACATAAAAATGCATCTTTGGTCTTCTTTCCTCACCTGCTGTGTCACCTATCATACTGGTCACCAAGAGCTAGACTAAAAGGAGTTATTTTCATATCATGATAAGTAAGGTCATACATACCACAGCTCTGATAATTCTGAGATAATCAAAACCAGCTACGCAATAAAACTATGAGAAACATCCTTGCGAACTCCTTCCTCTTCGTTCTCGTGACTCTATTAAATAATCAGGCTAAATGGCAATTATCACGTGTCTGCTCCCTCTAAGTAGGAGGCCTAGAGGACAATGGCCAGTTTTCTCTCTGGGTCCCTTGAGAACAGCACGCTGCCTTTCTACACCAAGTGTTCAATCAGGAAGCACCCTCCACGACGGGGGAAACGTGGGGAGGGCACAGAAAAGTAGGATTAACTCTGGTTTCTTTACATGGAGAGAGAGTTTGATGAGGTCCCAGCATCTCTGGAGAAGGGTTAAAATATTGATTAATTTTAGACCTTGTTACACTAAATATGCATGTTGTAACTTCTAGTGTAACCATACACAAAATTAAGAAACAGTATCTAAAATAGTAGATGGGGAAAACTGAAACAAACAAAAAAATTCAAGAATCTAAAAGAAGGCTAGAAAAAAAGCAAAAAAGAAAAGTTGAAACAGGTAAGAAAAATAATACACAACAGGCACATAACATTCCAAATATCTCATAGGTACAATAAACATAAATGGATGACCTGTTCCATGTTAAGTGACCGAGACTGACAGGTTAATAAAATTCTAACCGTAAGCTACTTACAAGAGATGTCAACCAGAGAAGAGGACTGACAGAGATAAACCAGGCAAATTCTAACCAAAAGAAAGCTGGCCTAGCTACATTAACATCAATAAAAATAGACTTAATCCTCAGTAATGCTTTTAATCTTAAAGAGATTGCATTCATAATGATAAAAGTTTCAAATTAAGGGAAGTTATATCAACTCTAAATTTGGATCCCTGACACAGCGGCGTATCAAAATGTACAAAGCAAAACAACTAGAACTATAAGGAAAAATAAGGAAAATCCATAATCAGAGCAGGAAATTTTAACATGCCTCTCAATAACTGATAGAAAACTGACCCAGGCTCCCTCTGTCCCTGCCCCCTTCCCACAAATCAGAAGGATACAGGAGATTTGAACAGCCTCATAAACCTGACCCAAAAGATCCATACAGACATACTGTACAGATCACCAGAATACACGTTTTTCTCCTCAGCATCTACAGCTAGAATAAAACACTGACCCTGGGGTAGAGGTGAACATAGCCTGGAACAGAGCTGAAGCTGACCCAGAGCCAATGAGAATCACTTTGCTCTTATCAGCCACTGAGATTTGGGGGGGTTACTATAATATAACCCACGGAAAGCTAATATATCAAGTTTATTAATAATTTTTCTTTGGAATTAACTACCTGGGACAGAAGTGAAAGCAGTCCCTCATCCAGCATTTCTATCTGTCAAAAACACTTTGGTAAAAACTTCTGAATACTTGACTTTGAATTTCTACTGAAAACTTACCAAGTCACAGAACTCAAACACCAGAAGATAGGGGATTGCTTCTACACACTGTCCAACACACTGAAGAATATTTGGATGTTGAAGAATACTGGTAAAAATAAAAGTCATAGTATTGTTCATGAGGGAGCAGGCTAGTAAAATTGTTCAAACAGTAACTGCAAATTTAACATTCTTAACGATTTAAATATAATCAACTGAAAAGAGCACAATTAAGATTCTATTTAACAGATGTATTCTAAGTCATGTAATGATTAAGTAATTCAAAGCCAATCAGGCGAACATTTCCACAAATTAAAACATCTCCTAACATAAGAATCTTTAACTTTAGTAATTTAACTTTATAGATATCATTTTGAAGCATCGTTTAAAAGAAGGCAAACTATATTCCATGAGCACTTTCAATCCACATAATAAAATACTCAGTTTACCTCTCAGGCTATCTAGCTTATATACTATTTTCATAAATCACAGTACACAAACTCTTTTTGGAAAATATTTTGTCTAAAACAAAGTTAAAAAAAAAAGATATGCCAAAATGGTTTTTTAAACTTCAAAACTTTATTCTGAAGCAATAATGAATTAAGAGTAAGTTGCAAAGATAGTGCAAAGAGGTCCCATGTCCCCTTCACCCAGTTTTCCCCACTGGTGACACCTGACACAATCAGTGCAATCCCCAAACTAGGGCCCTGACACTAGGGTGCGGTGTGTGTGTGGCTTGCAAGTCCTGTTATCAACATGTGTGGATTTGTGCAACCACCACTCAACAGAAATGCAGAACTGCCCCCCACCACGAAGACCTCCCATGCTACCCCTTTCTGCTACCCCTTTATAGTCACACTGCCGCCGCCCCCAACCATTCCTCAGCCCTGGCAACCACGAATCTGGTCTCCTTTTCTATAATGTTCTCATTTTGAGAACACTATGTAAGTGAAATCACACAGTATGTGGCCTTCTGAGATTGATTTTTTTCACTCAACACAATGCCCTCCAGATTACCCGAGTCACTGCCTGCATCAGCAGTCCCTTCCCTTCTACTACTGAGCAGGATTCCATGGCTGGATGGACCATAGTTTGTTTAACCGGTCACCTATAGAGGGCATTTTAGTTTTTCCAGTTTGAGGCTACTATAAATAAAGCCGCCATAAATAATCACACAAGAGATTTTGCATGGAAATAAGTTTTCGTTTCTATGTGATAGATGCCTAGGAGAGCAACAGCTGGGTTACAAGATGTGACGGTTAATTCTCTGTCAACCTGGCTGAGCCACAGTGCAGATATTTGGTCAAACATTATTCTGGACACTTCTGTGAGGGTGTTTTTGGATGAGATCATCATTTAAATCAGTGGACTTTCAGTAAGAGCAGACGGTGCTCCAAAATGTGGGTGGGCTTTGTCCAAAGAACAAAGACTAGCCTCACCCAGTGAAGAAGGAATTCTGCCAGCAGATGGCCTTTGGACATGAACTGAACAGTGGTTCTGCTCTGGGTCTCCAGCCTGCTGGTCCACCCTGCAGACTTGCCAGTCTCCATAACTGCATGAGCCATTTCCCTAAAATAAATTACCTATCTATCCATCTATCTCTCTCTCGCTATCCATCCATCCATCTATCTATCTCTCCATCCATCCATCCATCCATCCATCCATCTCTCTCTCTACCTCTCTATCCATCCATCCCTCTATCCATTCATCTATGTATCTATCTATCCATCCATCTACCTATCTATCCATCCATCCATCCATCCATCCATCCATCCATCCATCCATCTATCTATCTACAGATTCTACCGGCTCTGTTTCTCTGGAGTACGTTGACTAATACATACAGTGGTAAGCGTATGTTTAGTTTTTTGACAAACTCTCAAACTATTTTCCAAAGTGGCTGTACCATTTTACATTCCCACCAGCAATGTGTGAGAGATCCAGTTTCTCCACATCCTCACCAGCATCTGGTATTGTTGCTATTTTATTTTAGCTTTCCTAATACTTGTGAAGTGGTCTCTCATCATGATCGTAATTACCCTAGCTAATGATGTTGATCTTTTCATTGCTATCCATAGATCCTCTTTGGTGTCACTTGATGTCTTTTGTTTATTTTTGTTTTTTACTGTTGAGTTTTGTCTATCTCTCTGCCAAAAACACTGTCCGAATTATGTAGCTATATAAGGTCTTGAAACTGAGTCAAATGATTCCTCCAATTTTTATTCTTATTTTTCATAATTGTTTCGGCTATCCTACTTTTGCCTTTATATATAATTTTAGAATAATCTTGTATATAGGTTTTTAAAATCTTGCTGGGATTTTGATAGGAATTGCAGGAATCTGACTGGGAAGAACGGACATCTTCACGAATCTTCCAACCCATGAATATGGTATGTCTCTTTGTTTATTTAGACCTTGATTTCTTTCATCAGTTTCCATAGTTTTCAGCATACAAGTCCTGTACATGTACTTAAGTATTTGTTTTTGAGTGAATATAAAAGTTATTTTATTTAAAAGTTGGTTTCCACATGTTCATTGATAGTACACAGAAATAAAACTGACTTTTGTATGTTGACCATGTATCCTGCAACCTTGCTGAATTCTCTCTTACTAGTTCTAGGGGATTTTTTTTTTTTCGGAGATTACTTGGGATTTTCTGCATAAACATTTTCTGCATATAAACACAGACACTTAGGTCTTTCTTTCTGATCTACAGGCTTCTGAATGTTTCCTTTTCTTGCCTTATTGAGCTAGTTAGAACTTCTGGCTCTTATTGAATAGCAGGGATGAGAGCGAACATCTACGTCTTTCTTGATCTTAGGGATAAAAGCATTCAGTCTTTCACCATTAAGTATGATGCTAGATGTAGATTTTTTGTAGATGTTCTTTAATAAGTGGAGATTCTCATCTAATTCTAGTTTTCAAAGAGTTTTTATCATGAATTAGTGTGGAGTTTTGTCAAATGTTTTTCTCCATCAACTGACAGGATCATGTGATGTTTCTTCTTTACCCAGTAATTATGCTGGATTACACTGACTGATTTTCAAATACTGAATCAGACTAGCATTCCTGGAATAAATTCCAATTGGTCATGATATATAACTTTTTATATATTTGCTAATATTTTGGTTAGAATTTCTGCATCAACATCAGTGACAGATATTGGTCTACAGTTTTCCTTTTTGCACTTTGTCAGGTTTTGGTATCGGGGTAATACTGGCTTCATAAAATGAGTTAGGAAGTGTTCCCTCCTATTTTCTAGAAAATATTGTGTATTAATTCATCTTTAGTCGTTTTGTAGAATGCTCTGGTCAAACTGTCTATGCCTGGGGACTCTTTTTGAGAGTTTTTAAGTTGCAAACTCCATTTCTTCAATGATTATAGGTCTATTCAAATAACCTATTTTACATTGGGTGAGTCGTGGTGGTTTGTGCTTTTTGAGTAATTGGTTCATTTCATCTAAGTTGTCAAATATATATCTACGTAGAGCTGTTTGTCCCTTATTATCCTTTTGATGTCTGTAGGGTCTCTTTCATTCCTGATATTAGAAATCTGTGTCTTCTCTTTTATTCTCTGTCAGTCTTGTTAGAGGATTGTCAATTTTATTATTTTTCCAAAGAGCCAACTTTATGTTTCAATGATTTTTATCTACTGTTTTCAATTTTATCGACCTCTGCTCTTATCTTTAATATCTACTCCTTCTGTTTGCTTTGAGCTCATTTGCTCCTCTTTTTTTGGTCCTTTAAAGTATGAGCTTAGGTTACTGATTTGAGACTTGTCCTCTTTTCAATGTAACCCCCCTACAGGTGAGGTGGTGTTTCTTTCTCCCGGCTTTTGAGATTTTTTTGTCTTTCACTTTCAGAAGTTTGATTATGATGTGTGTTGGCATGAATTTCTTTGGGTTTATCCTGTTTGAGATTTGATCAACTTATGAATCTGTAGGTTTGTCTTTTCAAAATGTGGAACATTTTCCAGTTAATATTTCTTCAAATACTTTTTCTATCCACTTTCTATCTCCTTTCAATCTGGGATGTCTTGATCTTTTGTTCAAGTCCCCCAAGTCCCTGAGGCACTTTTCATTTTTTTAAGCATATTTTCTTTCTGTTGTTTGAACTGGGTGATATTTATTGTTTTATCTTCAACTTCACTGATTTTTTCCTCTGTCCTCTCCATTCTGCTGTTGAACTCATCCACTGAGTTTTTACTGTATTATATTTTTCAGTTCTAAAGTGTCCGCTTTGGTCTTCCTTATGTAGTCTATGTCTTTGCTGAAACTTTGTTTTCTTCATTTGTTTCAAGGGTACTATAATTTTTTTAAATATAAATTTATTTATTTATTTTATTTTTGGCTATGTTGGGTCTTCATTGCTGCACACAGGCTTTCTCTAGTTGCGGCGAACGGGGGCTACTCTTTGTTGCAGTGCATGGGCTTCTCACTGCGGTGGCTTCTCTTGTTGCAGAGCACAGGCTCTAGGCATGTGGGCTTCAGTAGTTGTGGCACATAGGCTTAGTTGCTCCATGGCATGTGGGATCTTCCCAGACCAGGGCTCAAACCCGTGTCCCCTGCACTGGCAGGAGGATTCTTAACAACTATGCCACCAGGGAAGTCCCAGGGTACTAAAATTTATTGCTCATTGAAGCATTTTTACAACAGCTGCTTTAAAATCCTTGTCAGATAATCCTAACATCTCTGTCATCTTGGTGTTGGTATCTGTTGTCTTTTCTATTTTTTTTGTGTGTTTATTTTATTGAAGTATAGTTGATTTACAATGTTGTGCTAATTTGTACTGTACAGCAAAGTGATTCAGTTGTAAATGGATTCTTTTTCATATTCTTTTACATTATGGTTTATCACAGGATACTGAATATAGTTCCCTGTGCTGTAACAGTAGGACCTTGTTGTTCATCCATTCTATATATAACAGTGTGCATCTGCTAATCCCAAACTCCCAGTCTATCCCTACCCTGGCCCCCCTCCCACTTGGTAACCACAGGCCTATTCTCTATATCTGTGAGTCTGTTTCTGTTTTGTAAACAAGTTCATTTGTGTCATATTTTAGCTTCCACATATAAGTGATATCATATGATACTTGTCTTTCTCTGTGTGACTTACTTCACTTAGTTTGATAATCTCTAGGTTCATCCATGTTGCTGCAAATGGCATTATTTCATTCTTTTTTATGGCTGAGTAGTATTCCATTATATATAATGTACCACGTCTTCTTTATCCATTTCTCTGTCGATGGACATTTAGGTTGTTTCTATGTCTTGGCTATTGTGAATAGTGCTCCTATGAACAGAGGGGTGCATGTATCTCTTTGAAATTAGAGTTTTGTCTGGGGGTGGGGTTGCTGGACCCATCCAGGAGTGGGATTGCTGGACCATTTGGCAACTCTACGTCTAGTTTTTTGAGGAATCTCCATACTGTTTTCCATAGTGACTGCACCAAATTACATTCCCACCATCTGTTGTCTTTTCTTACTTAGCTGAGTTCTCTTGGTTCTTGGAAAGATCAGTGACTTCAGCTGAAACCTGGACATTTTGGGTCTTATGCTATGAGACTCTGGATCTTATTTAAATTTTGTATTTTACAAGCAGAAATCCCAGAGGCGTTTTAAACACCTGATTTTCAACAGACCACAGACCACATTTACAAAACATTCATTACGGTTTACTTACTAGTATGGTTCTCCATTTTTCAAAAAAGTATCGTGTTCCTTTGGGCTCGCACTTGCTTTTAACTCCTTCACTATTACTCTCACTACACTAGTGCCCGTGTAGATCTCTCCAAGGAGCACCTAAAACCAAAGAATAGTTTTTCACTTCACTTTCATCAACATGATAAAGAAGTATGTTACACTTACCAGGAAATGGAATACAGGAAAACAAATTAAGCAACAGTCAGATGGCTTTCTATTATTTTAAATTCTACCTCACGAAAAGCTTGGAAAGCTAAAATATTTTCCTTAAGTTTTAAAACAGTCATCAGATGTTTACAACATTCATATATTTATATGTACTTCTTTTCTATTTACTTAAAAATGTTTTATACTTTAACAGAAATTGCCAATGACATTACAGAAGAGTGATTTATTAGTTTGGTTCAAATATAACCCAAATATTTCTCAAAAACACGTCAACTGAGTTGTGTTATTTTGTTATGTCTACTTCACATAGGACAAAATAAACTGACAAACAGCCAGTGTACAAACTATCATTGCATTATAGCTTTAAAAATCCATGGCATGCCAGTTATTCCAGGCCTTTATCTTGTACTAAAGCTTCAGTCAAAACACAGGGAAAAAACACTCCACTGAAATTAACAGAACACAAAATGTGAATGAAAATAAGAACAAGCTACAAGCGATATATTAAGTATTAATATAGGACAATACAAAGGCACTCCAAAATACAATATTTAAGATGAAAATGATGATGAAGTAAAGATTTTTATCTAATTTGAGAATGGTCAAAACTAAAAGGCTTCCTTTTAAAATAGGTTTTTTATATTTTTATAAAATGGATTAATTTTAATGCCCTGAAAATAGAGAATAAGAACCTGAACAGAATTTAATGTTATATTAGGAATATAAGGGCAGAAAAATGCATAGAACAGGAAACTCTGATAATTAACTAAGCCATATTCTCTGTTTCAAATAACGAGTTTGCACAGATATAACAAGCCTAACACGTCCATGGTGTTGATTTGCAGAGAGGGGAGAATAACTAGGGGACCAGTGCAATGATCTGGCTCACTGTCTCTCTCTCTCTGTAGCCAGCACTGTTGTCATCCTTGGAGGGCAACGTATGCAGGGACTATTCACTCAACACCGGGACCTCTCAGTTCTCTGACCTCACTCCCGCTCATCTTTCCTATGAGCCCATCTCAGCAAACACTCCCAGGGGTCTAGACCTAGCTAGTAATTATGTTATGTCCCAAACCTTGAATTTTAACTTCTTCTCTACCCGTCCTTCGATTTCCAGCTCACTTACTTCAACAGTCTAATCCAACAAGTGCACAACTTGCCCCCCAATCCACTAATGATCCCGCTTTTCCACCCTCCTGTCCTGACTGCAGGCCCCGCTCCCCTCCCTGACAGCTTAGAGCCCACGACCCTTCACTCCCATCACCCCCGCGCCCTTCTCGCTGAGGTCTATTAGCTCAGCCAAGCCTCGGTGCTGCTCAAATCCATCCACTTGCCTACAATAAAAAGCGTCAACAGCAGAAAAAAGCCATGACGAGTGGTCTCATTTTAAATCTGTGAGGGTCTTCGGCGCTGCTCACCACCACCCCCATTTCCCCAGTTGATATACTTTCCCACATTCTCCTCCTTCACGTACATCTTTTCACTCCTGCATTTCAAACGGGCCTCCTATTTACTGAGTAAAATGATCAAAAGTGAACCTGCTCATTTTAACACCAGATCCACCTGCACCTGTGTACACATCCTGTTTCTGCTCCCATTTCAGGAGAGAAACTGTCCCTGTGCCTAAGACCAAGTCCTACAATAATGCTGTGGATCCCTCCAACGCTTACACCCCCTCCCACAGTATCAGTCCCCCCTCCCATATAAACATGCTAAAATAGCAGCATATACTATAAAAAAACAAACAATCAAAAAACCTTCCCTTGGCCCTTGGACGGGCCCAAACAGCTCATCATTTCTCTGTTCCCTTTTAGATTAAAACTCCTCAACAGAGTTGTCTAAATGTGCTATCTCCAGTTTCTCCCTGGAACCCACCACACGTGAGGATGTGACATGGCCCTTTTGAGGTCACAAGCACTGAATCTTCTGAGGATACCATGGACTGCATGCTGCTGGGTCCTAATTCTCCCAGCCTTCATCTTGCTCAGTGTGTCCAGAGCACCTACTGCAATTCATCTTCTGGAGCTCCTCCTCAGACCTTCAGAATAATGCTCCTTTCTCCTGTGCCCTCTCCTACTCACTGGCTGACTCTTCTGTCTCCCTCACAGGGTCTCCCTCACTGTGCTGACCTCCCCGCTGCAGGGCCTCAGGGCTCGGTCCTTGTGCCTCCCCCTCTCCTCTGTGTTAGCATTCTCGGTGATTTCATCTAGCCTCAAGTACCACCTCTATACTGAGTTCTCCCAAGTTTATATCTCTGTCTTGAACTCTCAATTTGCATTTCCAGCTGCCTACATGGTATCTCCATTTGCACATCTGAGAGCCATCTCACCCCTGATGTATCCAAAAGTGAACCCATCTTCCTCCTCCACGTCTGCTTCTCCCTAGTCTTTCCCATCTCAGATCACAGCAACTCCATGCTTCTTGCCAATCGGGCCATAAGCCGTCATCCTTAACTTCTTTCCCTCTCCAGACTCCGTATCTGCTCCATCCCAAGTCCTGTGTGCTTCCTGTTGGAATCTCGACCTCTCCATGCTATCATCCAGGTCCAAGCCTGCCTGCAACTCTCCCTAGACAATTGCGGCAGCCTTCTTACCAATTTCCCTGCTTCCCCGTGGCCCTCTACAACATGGCGATCCTCTCAACCTGTAAGCCAGGTGATGTCACTCATCCCCAGATCCTGGAGCACCTTCCTAGCCCCCTCTGAGGAAAAGTCAAAGTCTCTAAATGCAGGAAATACCTCATGTCCCCTGGCTCCCCTACCCCTCTCTGAGCCTGTCTCCTACCATTGACTGTTTACTGTCTGATCACCCCCCAGCCCCAACTAGAAATTTCAGCTTTGTCAGGGCAAGGGTTCCATCTTGTTTGCTGCTACATTCCCAGGACTCCACAGGCCAGGACTTCACCATCTTCCTCCACATCATACTCCCAGCACCAAGAACAACGTCTGACACATAATAGGTTTTGCTAAATGGCTTAGAAGATCCGGTAACTAATAAAGTTTGGACGACATGAAAGATACAGGACAAACAACTCTTATCGGAAAGACAGAAGCATGAGATGGTTGACTACAGAGCAAATACATCTTCTGGTCGTGACCGCCCTACTTATGATGCAATGATCACTCAGTTACACCCTTTTACAAAGAATGATTGCTCCATCATAGAAACAGTTGTTATAAAAAAGATCATTCCTTCTGTGGTAAAAAGATCAACAAAGTGTGTTATTATAGGTCACTTGACAGGCTACGAGAAACACAACAGTTCTTCACAATGGTTTTCATTATAACCATGCTACCCATCTATTATAAAGTGGTTTAAGTGTCATAAGGGAATGGGGAGAAGAAAGAAGAAACAAATAATGTGAGAAGGACAAAAAGCTTCTAAAATTCCCATCTCTTTTCCCTTTTTACCGTCGTCTGCCAACAACTAGAAAAGTCTCTGATATAGAAATAAAAGACCTTCTTGGAAAAACTCACACACCCAGGAATGCTGACGCTCACACTTCCACATGGTTTCAGGGGCCAATGGAGAAATTCAATTGGGACCATAGTGTGTAGACAGTATGTGGAATGTCACGTAACACAAGTCTTAATTAGCTTTAAATTCTAAACAGTATAAATAGGAGGGGAAAAAATGAAAGCGAACAAACTTTACCTTTCCAAACCAGCCATTTCCAATTTCCTGTATATAGTTTAGACTGTGGCGGGCAACTTGAGACTTCAAACCTTCTGTAGGAAAAAGAACATTGCAAACTAAAGATAAGTATTTAACTGAAATAAATATTAATATATAACCTATAAAGTACAAACACTAACATAAATTTAATGTTTGTGATAATAAAGGTAGAAATAAATACATAAAACATCTCTCTCAAACTAATAATGCCAAAACAGTCTCAAATTTTAAAACTGACAGTATTTGTGAATGAGTATCCTGCCCTGACTTGAAGCTCTTGCACGGAATCCTCTGACCAACTACCCTACTATAACCACCAGTCACCACCAGTCACCACCACCTCACTGGCCTTTACTCAGTCCTTACTTTTATGGCGAAGTAGGGACCTCCGGGGCTGTCCCTCCCTAGAAACACTGAAAATCTTGTCAAAAAACTGTAAGCATCAACCTTATCAGAACTCTGGAGGGTGGAAAAGGCTTATAGCAACCAAAGAGAACCAGGAGGAAGGCCACTGAAACAGGCAGACTGGCTTCGTGGCCTTTAATTTACTCATGTGCTACCTCTCTTGCAGCACATCTTAAAGATGACCCACGTGCCAGAGTGGGTGCTGGTTCCAGAGGGAGCACAGTGACCTTCTTCCCCAGAAACTGTGCTTCCTTCTGACCTGACTAGGGTTTCCTGGAAGGCCTGCTGCGGTGGTGCCCCTTGTTCCACCTAACTTGGGCTCCATCAGGATGGAGAGGCTTCACATGCCTCAGAAACAACGAAAGCCAAGTGGACAAGGCGCTGCTGCCCGGGGCAAATAAAAAGACCCAACTGAGGCAATAACAGACAGGCTGGAGCTTTAGCAGAAAAGCCCAGTGAAATCTGGGGGGTTTGGGGGGCTATGAGCTTTTTTTAAAAAAGCTATTATTACACAAACAGGGAAACTTAGAGAGCCACTTGCATGTCCAGGGAAGCACACACACTCAGAAGAGGCCCAAGAAGAACAGAGGCTTCACCTCTGGCAAGTCTCATGCTCAGCAAAGCAGGAAGTGAAAGCTAAGGCAGAGCTGTCAGTGGCCAGGCTGAGGACCTGCCCCAACACAGAGCCAGTCTGCCAGGACCTAGACAGCATCTGTCATTTATTTCCTTTCTATTTTCTTCTTTTTTTTTATTATTCAGAATGTCTAGTTTTCAACAAAAAATTACAAACCAAATAAAAAACAATGAAGAATGCTACATGCACTGGTACAAAAGATATTTAAAAGAAAGTGTCCCTGAGAAAACAGACATCGGCCTTACTGGACAAGACCTTAAATCAACTGTCTTAAACACGCTGAAAGGGCTAAAGGAAACCACAGACAAAGAACCAAAGGAAACTGAGAGAATGATATCCCAATAAATAGAGAAGACCAATAAAGTGATAGAAATTATTAAAAGGAGCCAAATAGAATTTTGGAGCTGAAAGTGCAATAACCAAAAAAAAAAAAAAAAAAAAAAATCACAAGAGGGTTTCAACAACAGATTTGAGCAGACAGAATAATCAGTAAACCTGAAGGGAGGTCAAATGAAATTATCCGATCTGAGGAGGAGGAAGAAAAAAGAATGAAAACGTTAATGAATGAAGTCTAAGGGACTTATGGGATACCATCAAGTGGACCAACATACATATAATGAGAGCCCCAGAGGATGAGGGAGAAAAGGAAGCAGAAAGAATACTTGAAGATATAATGGTAAAAAATGTCTCAAATCTATGAGAAACATGAATCTATACATCTAAGAAGTTCAACAAAGTCCAAGTAAGATAAACTCAGAGATCCACACCAAGACACATTATAATCAAACTATCAAAAACCAAAGATAGAGAATTTTGAAAGCAGCAAGAGAGAACAAGTCATCACATTCAAGGGATCTTCAATAAGAATAACAATTCCGTGTCTCATTAGAAACCATGGAGGCCAGAAAGCAGTGGGATGGCACATATAAAGTGCTAAAGAACAGTACCATCAACCAAGAATTCTATACCTAGCAAAACTGTCCTCTACAAATGAAGGAGAAATTAAGACATTCCCAGATAAACAAGTTTAGGGAGTTTGCTGCCAGTACACCTGCCCTATAAGAAATGCTGAAGGGAGTCCTTCAGGCTAAAATAAAAGGACATTAAAGAGTAACTAGAAGTCATATGAGGAAATAAAGATTTCTGGTAACTACATAGGTAAAATAAAAGCCAGTATTATTGTATTTTTGTGTGTAGCTCCTTTTTTATTTATTATATGACTTAAAAGACAAACACATTAAAAAATTGTATAGTTGACCCTTGAGCAACACAGGTTTGAACTGCACAGGTCCACTTAAATGTAGATTTTTTTCAATAAATACTATAGCACTACACAAGCCACAGTTGGATGCAGAAACATGGATACAGAAGGCCCACTATAAAGTTATACACAGATTTTCGACTGTGTGCAGGGCTGGGGGTGCGTGGTTGTGTGGGGTGTGGGTCAGTACCCTTAACCCCCTCGTTGTTCAAGGGTCAACAATAAATCTATGTTAATGGGCACACAATGTATAAAGCTGTAATGTGTGTCAACATAAAGGGAAGGAACAGGTTTTATATGTTGGTGAATATAAATTCAGTTGTTATAAATTCAAACTCAGTTGTTATAAATTTAAGGTAATTGTAATCCCATTATAATCACTTCTTAAAAATATAAAAAATATACACAAAAGGGAATGAGAAGGGAATCAAATGATATGCATGCATGGGTGCACACACGCCCACACACACACACACACACACACACACACACACACACACACAAAAATTCCAGTGGCCTGTCTTGCAGAAATGGAAAAACTGATCCTAAAATTCATATAGAATTGCAAGGGACTCAGAATAGCCAAAACAATCTAGGAAAAAAAAAAGTTGGAAGACACATACTTCCCAATTTCAAATCTTACTACAATGCTACAATAATCAAAACAGTGTGGTACTGGCATAAGGATAGACATATAGATCAATGGAATACAACTGAAAGTCCAGAAATTAACCTAAATGAATATGGTCAACTGATTTTCAATAAGGGTGCCAAGACAATTCAAGGCGGGAAGAACCGTCTCCTCAAAACTTGTTGCTGGGACAACTAGTCATCCACCTGTAGAACTAACCTGGATCATTACCTCACACCACATATAAATATTTTGTATGAAACACACCAGCTGTGTCATGTTTTAGCTAGCTTTTTTTAAAATATAGCCTATAGCAATATTAATCAACTGTTCAGTTTATACTGCCCTAAACATACACCACTGTGTGTGCAGTACCAAGGCAGGCTTGGTACCTACAAAGACTTAAAGAACCTTCTCAGCAGTATTAGAAATCCCTAATTATTGAACCACTAGTGATACTCTATTTTATAATAAGAAATCAATTAACATCTAGTCAAACCTCTATCTTCTATCTTAGCATGAAAAGTAATACCCAAATTACCCCTCCTCCCCGAACACAGGACATCCCAGTAGAAAACAGCAGTGTCCTACTCAGCCAGACAGGCAGTGTTGAGAACTGGCAGAGAAGCCTGCCTACCAACACAGAGGCCAGGAGCCTCTGTCAGAGTATTCCATTTTGAAGAATCGAGGAGACCAATTTACTCTTATGCCAGAGCCAAGGTCCAAAAGGAAAGGACTCAGCTTTTGCTGGAATGCAATGGGCCTGACCACTAGAATTCAGCTTCACCAGAGAGCAGAAGGAAGAAAAATTAGCAAGCAGAGGAGACAGGCAGTCCAACTTTTTTATGATTAGTAGTAAGGCTCCCTTTCTCACTTCTCAGAAATTATTCATGGAAACATGACATCAGGATGGAAGGTCTTACCTACAGAAGGCTGGAATTGTGATGGAGCTGGTAGTGAAATATTTGGTACTGAAAGTGTGAAAACTTCTGCTGGGGATTGAACAGAGGGAGTATCTTCTGCTGGTGGTGTGAAATCAATCTCATCATCAAAATTATCTTCAAATTCCTAAAATAAAGGACGAGCAATGTTATATCTAATATAAATCAGCTTGAGAGTAAATACCAAAAACATCTGCTAACATTTAAGATATGAACATTTATTCACTCATTTGGAACACACTGCCATAATTTTTTTTTTCCAATTTGTGCTGACTTCAGGTAAAAAGCATATGTAATTGTGTTCTCCAACTCAAAATAGCAGAATAACTAAGATCTGAAAATAAATTATACATATTTTATGTAATTTTTAAACTGATAACTTGAAGTTAAATGCAAAGTTTTCTAAAATGACCCTGGAACTTAAAAGGGAAATAATCTTCCAGTTTCAAAATTTTATGTTTAAGTTACTATAGTTTAAGGTATTCTTTTTATTACTATTATTCATTTTCACAAATCTCTCTGCATATTGAATCAAAATATTTATTTTTCAATTGTATATGTACTTCTAGTTGCTGTGTGATTTCAATCAAAATAAAGATAGTTAAAAGACTCAGAAAAGATATTTTTAAGCGAGTCCTATTTCTCTGGAAAGAGTAATAATGGATAAATTATTAAACTGGGTAACAAAACTATCAAGATCTGAACCAGGAAGGTCAGTACTAAACTCTGTATCACATAAGTGCAATAAACATTCTAAGAACATCCAGCTTTCTAAAGATGGCAACTTTAATATTGAGGCTGCACCAATAACGCTGTGGAAACCTTTTAAGTGACTCTGTCCAGCAGAAAGCTATCCTGACTCTTCCTATCATCATTCCAGTGAGCTGGGCCTACCTTGGTGTCCATGTTAATTTAACACAGATACAGATGATTATCAAGGTCTTTCATTCAGATAATTAATGAGCATTACCCCACCAGGAGCCATGACAGAAGCTGAACGCGACTGTTTTCACTCGTCTACACAGCTCCCTTTTCTACGACCTCCCGCTACCCCACCCGCCCTCATGTAAGGGAGAAGCTGAAGGTTGCAAGGGTGGATTTCTCTGATACAACATTTATGCTCTCACATGCATGCAAGAGGACATATTCTTATGTATGTCATACACGTTGTCAAACGCATTAGGACACTATCATTATTTGTATCGGGGGAGGGGAGAGCAGGACACTTCAATCTGTGAGGTCACCTCTAAACACAACAGCTTTGTCCAATTGCCCCTTCAGACATTCCTAAGGGTTCTCTCATTAAAAAAAGACTTCATCCATCACTCCTAACCTTGGCAGCGGCAGGATATACCATTAGGCAGCAGAGGATTCTAAAGATTCACAGAAGTAATACAGTACAACAACAACAATAAAAATAACAGCAACAACAGTATAACAACAATAACAACGACAACGGGGCCGTGAGAGAAGACCAGGTCACTTGTAAAAGACTGCAGCTTCTTGGCCTGTAAATGACTTCCCAGGGACCATTTAGTTCTGAAACGCCACACTTCTAAGTCTAAAGGAAACCCACGAATGATAGATGGTGACACTCTTCTTCAGTTACAGTCTGGAAGCTGGAGGGGATCCCCTGTACGGTGTGGTCCCTGAGCCGCCTGCATCAGAATCACCTGGGGAAGCCCGATAAAAACACACCCTCCCTGAATCTGAGTCATCATAAATGCCCTGTGTCCACACTAAGCGTCAGGGGGGTTAGAACAATTCGAGGCAAGAATGAGGTATCGTGATGTGAGAGAGAAACTGGCTTTCATTTTCAGAAACACTGATCAGGCTTCATCTTCGTCCCCAAAGGGCCAGGGGTCTGTGCAAAGTCCCTCAGCAAGACTGACAGTCAAGGGACACGGATTCTCTGCCCACCTCTGTGGCCCCATGCGGCGCAGTCGCTGGGTTCCCACAGAAGTGTCTGCACTGATCCAAGGGCCTAGGCGCTCATGTCCTCCATGTCTGGGGTGAAATCCTCTAAAGAAAATGACCTGTGCTCATGAGCCTTTCCCCCCAGACGCCCACCCCAGTCCTCCAGCCTCCATCCTGTGTGTGTATAACACTGGTGTCCAGCCAAAGGGACAGCACATCTTCTCTCCTCAGAGCTGCCACCAGACCCAAGGTAAAGGGAACACACGACAGAAACAGGTGTGAGGCTCGAGAAATAAGGTCCACACATCCACGAAAAAGGTTTTCCCCTGATTTGAACCACAGTCCTCAGGACTCCTGGGACAGCCCTAGTCCAGTTGGTAAAGCTCTATATTAAAGACCATTTCCTCTGCATGTGCACAGTCCTTTTTTTTCCTTCTTTTATGTACTCCTTTTTAATAAGTCTTCACTGAGCCCTAACACATGCCAGCGGTAAGTTCTAGAGGGGATATCCCAGCTGGTTTCTGGCAGACTCCACCCATCCTCAGCAGCTACGACAACAATCCTTCTATATTATCACCTCCCCCACCGCCACCCTCCACCCTGGGCAAGCTTTACAACTGGCACCCTTCTTTTCTCCTCCTTAGGGAACTCAGGGCTCGAGGTAAACTGAAAGATGCTCTTCCTCACACACAAAACACACTGGCCTCAATGATCTCAACAACCACAAATTCACCAGCACATAGTTTGGGAAAAAATCAAAACCAGCCTGCTTCTCCTTACAGGCCTTATAGCAAGTGAATTCAATCATCATTCCTTATTCCTCACTTGACAAAACTTAAATTAAAACAGGCAAGTGGCTACTGTCAATGATGCTCTGAGGCAGGGCCAGCACCTGCAGCCAGTGAGCCAAATCCAGACCACCTACTTTATTCTGTACACGAGATTTCACTGGCACACAGCGGTGACCACCTGTTCCCATGCTGTCCGTGGCTCACGTGGCTACAATGGCCGAGCTGAGAGCTGAGTAGCCATGACAGAGACTGTATGGCCCACAGTGTTTACTATTTACAATAGCTCTTTATTTAATATTTACTATCTGGCCCCTACAGAAAAAAATCTGCCAACTCCTGCACCCAAGGGACTGTGATATACAGCCGTTCTATTGGTAAATGTATCAGAGGATGACTTTAAATGTTCCTACCACCTGTGCTCACCTTAAAGTCTATTTCTGGGTCCTTACAGCAGGATACACAGTTTACAATTAACACTATTAATATCATTAAACTGCACACAGACAGGATCACAAAAGATGAGGAAATTTCTGCAGCAGGTGCCTCCCCTGGAAAGAGAAATAAACAATATTAACATGCACATTCCAAAATCAACTTTAATAAGTGAATCAATATATTTTCTGCCAGATACAAACGGGACCAAGAGTTAATAAAATAATGCTCAAATGCTCAAGATAAAGCTGATGACCAACCCAGGATAAGAAGTTAGAGGGTTTTTTAAAAAAAACTTCTGATTTGGGGACTTCCCTGGCGGTCCAGTGGTTAAGACTTCACCTTCCAATGCAGGGGGTGTGGGTTCAATCCCTAGTCAGGGAGCTAAGATCCCGCATGCCTCGAGACCAGAAGCAATATTGTAACAAATTCAATAAAGACTTTAAAATTGGTACAAATCAAAAAAAAAAATCTTAAAAACTTCTGATTTTGAAACAACTTCAGATTTACAGAAGAGTTGCAGAGACAGTGCAGACAGTCCTCATATACCCTTCACCTCGCTTCCACTAACATTAGCATCTTACATAGTGTACTTATCAAAGCTAAAACAGTAACACTAGTACAATACTATCAACACTAATTGAACTTCTGACTTTATTTGGATTTTACCAGTTTTTCCATCAACACCGTTTTTCTTTCCCAGGATTCAATCCAGGCCACCAATGTTGCATTTACTCATCATGTCCACTTAGTCTCCTCCGATCTCTGATGTCTCTCTGTCCGTGTTTCATAGCTCCAACACTCTTGAAGAGTACTGGTCAGTTATTTTGTAGAATGTCCCTCAAATGGGGTTGCCTGATGTTTTCTCATGACTGGACTGAGGTTACAGATATCTGGGAAGAATCTAGAACACCACATGGTGAAAGGTCCTTCTCATGACATCGTATCTGGGGCATGTGATGTTGGCACAATCATTACCAGTGACGTGAAACTGGATCCTTTGGCCCAGGGGGTTTCTGCCAGGTTTGACCACAGTGAAGTTACCCTTTTCCCTTCGCATACGCCTCTCTTCAGAAGAGGGTCACAAAGTCCAGGGAACACGCACGGGTAAGGGAATTAAGCTGTACTTCCTGGAGGGAGGAGTGTCCCAGGATGTGTAGACACAGGTTAAAAGGGCTACAGTAACTGATACCCGGGGATACACTCCGAGGCTCTTCACACACCCCGGGTCTCTGGGAAGCTTTACACCATAGTTTTCACCGGAGTCGTGCGTCTTCCCTGCAGCAATGAACACTGTGATGTTCTAGTGGTGATTCTTCTATTTCCCTTATTCCTTCTACATTTACTACTTGGTACGCTTCTGTAAGGAAGATTTGTCCCTCCTCCCACACTTATTTATTCAGTCATTTACAAAGTAATGAACTCATAAGATATTTATTTTATTCTTTGGGTTATAATCCATTATTCTCATTTCTTTGTGGCTCAAATTGTTCGAGCTTTGGCCCCTGGGAGCTGTTTCAAGTTGACTCCTGGGTCCTTCAGACATGCCCCATCCTTTACTTTTTTCCTCCTATACTTCCTCACTCTCTGATGCTATGGGAAGCTCCAGGCTCCTCTTATATTTTCCCTCCTCCGACTTTAGAATCAGCCACTTCTCCAAGGAGCTCCTGTCACAATAAGGAACCTGAAAACTACAGCCTGTGACCACTTTTTGCTTGCGGGGGCGGGGGCAGCTAAGGATGATTTTTACATCTTTAAAGGGCTGTTTCGGGGGCGGGGGGAAAAAAAAGAATTTGTAATAGATACTGCATGTGAGCCACTGACAGAAAAAGTCTGCAACCCCTGTCTAGACCAGAAAGATTCTCTCTGCTTACTTTCAGCAAAGATTTAGTTATCTGGAAAGCATCTTATTCAACTAGGGCTAGTTCGAACCTTTTTTTGTTAGAGCAAATTGTTAAGTCTTACCTACCAGCGTTTTACTAAGAAATACACTTTTCTTCTTTCTCTCCTGCTTTGAGATATAACTAACATATAACACGGTGTAAGTTTAAGGTGTACGACATGATAATTTCATATACATATATATTGTGAAATGATTATCACAGTAAAGTCAGAAATAAACTTTTCCTTAAAATCCCCACCAACGGCAAATTACATGTTCAGAGGCACCAAGCAAGGAGGCCTGGAGACAAGTTAAGGAACGATGCCACCATTTTTCTTAAATGAGATCACAGTACCTGAAGAAAGCAAAAACTAACCAAACTCTTATGTGAGTGAAACACATTCTTGAACATAAAATGCTCTTCTTTAGTGAAGAGCAGAGAAGCCTAAAGGAGTCAGCACGTCAAGTGCAAAGCAGGAATGAATTCCTTTCCAATAACACAAGTCTATCTGAGAATGAGCACTGCTGGAACCTGCTTTGTCACGAGGGGGTCGGACTCCGCTGCAGCCTTCCTTCTTAAAAATAATGCCATTGACCAAAGGTTGTCAAGCACTTGCAAGCTCTAAACCCACAAAATCGAACACAGAGGGAAATCCGCACATGAACACAGAAGAACGCAGAATTCCCTGACTAGGGACACCGGTGCCCATCTGGAAAACTAAGCGAAGCAAGGAGCCTGAGCCACTGAGAGCCGACCGTCTAGAACCAATACTCAGCTCGGCCTGTGCTGCCCACTGGTATTTTCTTATAACTCTGTTTCACTCCCCCTGACTCATATAATAAGGATTAAATACGACTCCTGAGGCTTATGTGGCAAAACGCTTTCATATACACTGTATTTTACTGATTTTTTAAAATAAATTTATTTACTTATTTATTTGTTTATTTTTGGCCACATCGGGTCTTCGTTGCTGCGCACAGGCTTTCTCTAGTTGCGGTGAGTGGGGGCTACTCTTTGTTGCAGTGGCTTCTCTTTGTTGCAGAGTCTGGGCTCAAGGCACGCAGAATCAGTAGCTAGGTTCCCGGCTCTAGAACACAGGTTCAGTAGTTGTGGCGCACGGGCTTAGTTGCTCCACGGCATGTGGGATCTTCCCGGACCAGGGATCGAACCCGCGTCCCCTGCATTGGCAGGCGGATTCTTAACCACTGTGCCACCAGGGAAGTCCTATGTTACTGATTTTTAAGATGAGGTTTGCCCACTGCATTTTAAGATCTCTAAATTTCAGGGCTATCTTACATTTGAAAGAAAGCTGTTTTCATTGGCAGCATTTCTTCTTTCTTTTTTCTTTTTTTTTTTTTTTTGTGGTACGTGGGCCTCTCACTGCTGTGGCCTCTCCTGTTGCGGAGCACAGGCTCCGGATGCGCAGGCTCAGCGGCCACGGCTCACGGGCCCAGACGCTCCGCGGCATGTGGGATCTTCCCAGACGGGGGCACGAACCCATGTCCCCTGCATCGGCAGGCGGACTCTCAACCACTGCGCCACCAGGGAAGCCCTCTTCTTTCTTAATGGCACAAAAATAAGGGTGTGTCATTATCGGTCATATCTGAGATTTGATAAAATATAGTATTATTTCATTTGATCGTCACAACGCCAGCTCCATGTCACAGACGAGGACACCGATGTGCCTAAGGACACGAGGTGGGAAAGCGGCTAGGCCAGACTCTGGGTTCAGGGGTGCTGGGTACAAGTCCCTTGATACCACATCGATTTGCCTCATTGTTTTTAACATTTAAAAACAGCCTAAGTGCTTCAAAGGAAACCTCTCACTGTAATTAAGACAGTTCATACTTCTCCAAACTCCAGAGGATGAATAGTAAACAACTTTTTTCTCTCTTTTCATCTATAATTTATCGTCACACCCTATCATAAAATTTGATCAAAACTGCCTGAGGGCCAGCGCAATAACTGATCCATAAAACTGTCTTCTGTGAGTCATCAGGCAGGCATTAAAAGTCATACCCGTGTTAAAAATAACTAGTTATGTGGAGTTTTGCCTGACCTTGATAACGTATTTATTTCTGTTAAGACACTGCAGGGGCCTCTGCTCTCCTGGACTCAGATTTCCTCAAGGCATACAAGTCTACTCCACCTCAATGTCTACCAGGCCCACTGAAAAGGTTCTAAATCACTACCTGAGATATTTACTAGATAGCCTCTAGTAGACATTTTTACAGTTTTACCATTCCTAGAAACTATTTTGTTTACTGTATTTTTCTTTTGATCAGCCCAAAGTCCTATGCTTTAAAAAAAAACAACAACAACAAAACTGTATACCAACAGAGGAACACTTCCATACAAAAAAGAAAAACTTGTATAAAATGAAGAAATCAAACCAGCCTCCTATAGGCTGGAAGGTGAGATGGGTTTGCATAAACCTCAGAGAGGAAGTAAATTCTAGACCTGAGGAACTACACTAAAATCCCCGTGGCCCCAGTGGTCAAACTACAACCCAGGACCCTGGAAGGTTCCTGATTGCGACAGCCGGAAACTATGAAGAAAGACAGTTTTCTTTTGACACTCTCGAGTCTGCAGCATTCAGAGACGTGTTAAGTCAAACCAACCATTGCCTACAGAAAAACATCAATAATGACAGGAGTGTCTCCGCACACTGAGGCTGCCTCACAGATTACAAACTGAGAACAAGGATAATTAGAGGTTTGGGGTACTTCGTACACCTCCCCAAGACACCGATGCAAAAACACATGGCATCTCCAAGGTACAGTCTATGAGTTTTCATTTTCGTTTCCAAACCATTTTAATAGATACCTAGCACTTGATTTAATAAGCAGAAAACCTAAGAAACTCTGAGAGGTAGGTGCATCTTATCTATCACCAGGTAATCTGGGGAACACAATTTCTCAGTAATGACGCAGAGTAAGTGAGGAGTGCTATCCAATTATTAATTCAACCATTATAAATCCCTGCCTAGAACCATGATTAGAACTTGAGCACATGTGTAATTAACTGAAGAGTCACCTGTGAATCCTTTTTCAGATTAAATTAAAAATTTTAAAGGTTCACAGATAAAAAGAAATGATGATCAATGTCTAGATCCATGAGGGATTGCAAAACGCTGATATTCTAACTTTGTCATTCCCTGTTTGGTTACCAGCTGATATACTGATACCAGTTTACAAAGAAAATTTCCCCATATTTACTATCTGGTTAGCCAG